GCTACATGGTCTCCACAGTCCCTGCATTTATTCCCTGAAGGAACGGTTGAAAATAAAATATCCCTTGACAAAAAGCAAATGGGTGTACATAAGGATTTCTGCTAAGCTATAGCTGAATCAATAGTGCTCTTCTGAAGAAAGCATCATGCCTTCTGGAAGCAACAGGCTGATGGTCAAAGAAGTAGCAGTAGCAGAATGCTGCACATATATTTGAATAAAGCCAATGTCACCATTATACCTGTGGGGCTGATTGCTCAAACATGCTTCCCTTCCATGTTTGAATAAGGTTTTGGGGGTTTACTGGCATTAAGGACTCCAAGTGTGGAATGATGTGCACCTGAGTTTATTCTGCCAGCCTGCTGTCAGGTATTTGTTTAAGTGGGCCTCACCCTGTCTTGCTTTATGAATGCAGACTTGCGGTGAAGAAACAGCAGCCTCAAAATCCAGCCATGTAATTTGTCGTGCAGAGCCTGCTGCTGCTCCAAGCGAGACATTCGCTTGTATCTTGCAAGAAGTGTATGGGCAAATCTTTCATTTTTCTTTCATTACCCCGGCATGTACTGTCACTTAATTTTTATGTATGCAATCCTTCCTGACAAATATGATCTGCTGCTGGGTAATTCGTTTGACGTTCATTCTGTTCCTTGCTCTAATTATGGCTTCCATTTCTGACACAGAGGCGTCTATGCTGCCACAGCCAGGAGTACACCTGTCAGACAAGTTGTGGTACTGCCTAATGCCCTTTTATGCCAGTCTGATGTTAGCAAATACAAAGGAAAAAAATTAGGTGAATCTATTTGCATAAGCCCTGTGCTCATTTCATGGGTCAGCAGCCTTAGATATTAGAGTTCAAGATGGTTGCCAGGGCAACACTGAAATAGGAAAAAAATCCAATATCACAGGCGGAGCCATTGTGCATATGCATTTGCCACTGCCTCTTATCAAAATGTAAATTTCCACATTAAACTACACCTGCAAGATTGTGCCACTAGGAAACAAATAACACGGCAAAGTACTTTAAACCAGGTAGGATTTCGGGGTTTTATTTTTACTGTTAAATAAAACAGCCTTCAGAATGCAAAAATGCCGACCTGTGTGTCAGATGTAAAAGTGAACTAACTTGGGCTTCTCGGCA